ATTACACTGCAGAATTACTATTAACTGTCATAATAGATCTATGGCTTTTTGATATATTATTAACTTTTGAAGTTATAATATTTATTACGATGCTTACATTTTTAATTTATGATTATCAAGTAGGTGAGTAATATTATTATTTATCAGTATATAATATTTATTGTCGTATTGTCATATCGCTGTTCTTCGCATTTTATCCGCAGCTGCAGATTATTAATATTAGATACATCGTACATACATGTTTTACTTATGTTAAGATATTATTATCTATGTCGTCTTCGCTGCAGAAAATAAGTGATCCGAAATCGGTAGTCGGGATAGTGTTTCGTTATGTTCATACACGCGGCTATTATTATACACACCGTTCTTCCCTTCGGGCAGCCTAGGGCCTAGGCTATCACACACCCCCGCGAGACAGGTTGATTTTAATGACACCTTATCATCATTTTAATAAGAGGGTCGTTCTCAATGTAATATAGGCTGTACATATTGAAGACTAAAAAATGTCGTCATATTAGGTACAATATTACATTACACTTGAAATATTTTCAACGTGCGTGGGTCAATATTTTACTACCGGTTTTCATCGTGATTTTAGAGAACGACGTGCATTTAACTTGGCATACAGAAATAATTACGGATAGGTATATAGGTACCTATAGATACCTACAATACTTATAACGTAAGTAATAGTACCCAAGACGACTGCATATAGAGAGGTATGCGCATCGCACTATTACCAGAAACAAATAACGATAATTGCCCGCTCGCGCATTTTGACGACTACCGTACTATAGTCTATAATATAGGTAATACCGACCACTACAACGTATAATGTAATACGTTGTTATTACTTATTGCGTATATTATTATAATATAGGCATACTGATGGCGTTTTACCGTCGTCGGTCTCAAGTCCTACCTATATAATACACGTATGTATATATGTAATATACAAATCGTACGACGGTATAATTTGTACTCGCCTGCTGGGGCGGCAGTAGTATACTATGGGTACATCGTGTTTATTATAGGTAGATGCCTACTACCTACGTTGCCCATATCGTATATAATATATTATTTTGTTGAACGACGACGCGTACTTATTAATTATTATAATTGTAGTAGACGTAACTATAATACTTTACGTGATATTATTATTATATACGTACGCGTATACGACGGTTTTTTACTCCACACGTCTTATACGCATAGTCATTACGGTCCCGTTGAAGGATTTAACATGGTAAGCCGCAGTGTTATTTGTATTTAGAAAAACATATCTATATAACAGCCAACCGTAAAATAAATATATCAATTAGGTGCCCAGCAGTAGCTGAGCTAAATAATATATCGTCGTGACCATTAGGCATGCATAATGGTATAATTAGGTAGGTAGATGCAGATTTACGGCGGACTAAACACTCTTTCACTGCAGTAAGTATGGATTTAATATTTTTCATATGGGAATAAACGTTTTTCAATAGGTAACCATAATATTATATTATATACTATATATTGATTTGTGTGTTTAAGATGCATATTATTATGCAAAGCGAATAACAATCATATTGACAATAGTCTACAGTAAATATAGTAAACAAATATATTATATTATGCTCATTATACATAATAAAATGGGTGCAAGCAAATATTATAGCCTATAGGTAAATACTAAATATGTAATAATATTTCTTATGAGTTTTAAAAAAATATCCAAATGACACAAAAACAAATTAATGCTTCCATAATTTTCCGAAACTTGATAAAGCTAAATTATAAATTTACTTTAGGTAGATACTTATAATATGTCAATGTTATTATCCGTGTAAAGTCTCAATATATAATTCCCTAGTATGTATACCACATACATCCCTACAATAGGTACTTAATTTCAATTATTTTAGCAAATATTCCCAACTTATATGAATTTATTCAAAAACGTGTGGGTTTTTTCTGAAATATGCGACGTATAATAAAATAATAATGTACAAGACGTGTATTAAACACTGGAATCTAGACATGATTTCTGAATCGTAGATTTAGAATTTTAACCTGCACAATATTGTTCCAAGTGAAGTTTATTTATATAAATATAAAGACGTACCGAAATTACGATTAATCGTTTGTCCTTAAAATAATGTAATAGGTATATATTATTGTAGTACTATACATGTTTTATTTTCATGAATTCGTGAACTAGATATTTGAGAATCTACTGTCTACATTCATTTGTAGGTGTATATACATTTTTTTTATCAATGCAAAAACTAAAGAAAAATTACAGAATATCAGAAACTGTAGTTGAATATTGTATATTATTAAAACTCGCGGGGTATGGTTTTAGGAACACACAATAATATGTATGACACATATCATTATTATTATGATTTGTATTGCTATTACTATCATCATCGTCGTCATCATAGCCGGCGAGTATAATAATAATAATACTCCGCATACACTCATACACATAATATTATAGCTGTCATGTTTTCTTCGTAGTCATGCAGCAGCGAGCTTTACCGTTACCGCGGTCGGTCCCCGTATATAGCTACCCGCCAAATGAGTATAATATAATAATATCATATGTATGGGTACAGCAAATATCACATGAGAGACATAATAGTAGCAATATAGTAGCATCAGCAGCATATCATCTGTACAACATATAAATATGTATATTATTATTACATGTGCGCGCCGCCACTGCTCGTCAGTGGCAATCCGGAACCGCGCGATTGTCAGCGAGCCGAGAGAACTTTAATGGGCGGAGGGAGAGGAAGACGACACGCAATAATAAAATATCATCATATACCTAGGTATAAGAATAACCGAGTGCGTGCGAATTCGTTTATGCGCACACGTCGTGCCGTATAATACCTACTGCAGAAAGTATACATTGTACATATGTGTATAATATATATATATTATATGAGTATCACTGCAGCACATATTATATAATAGTGTATCAGTGTATGGGAATTCCTAGTGGGCGCTCGGAAGGAAGGACTAGAGAAGCTGATAATGTCATGGCGTGCATGGACGGTATATTATAAATAAAAAACTAGAGAGAGGGAAATGCTGTGGCGGTGGAGACGTGGAAAGTAAAGCGAAGTGAAAAAAAAAAAAATAATAATAATAATAATAAAAACGCATGCGTGTACATTATTTTACATTATATGGAAAAAAACGAAGAGGAGACTCGGGCGCGCGCGCGCGAACAATGGTCGCGAAGGTATACAAATAATAATAATAATAATAATAATAATACGGTGGAAAAAGTGAAAAAGAAGGGAAAAAAAGGAATATTATAAAAACACGCGCGCTGCATAGAAGTCGCACAAAATAATATATATAAAACGGCCGAATGAATTATTATACGGTCCGTATATATACAAATAATATACGATTCAAAGAAAACTACTGTGACGGCGGCGGCGACTCGGTGGCACTCGACCTCGGTGCTGGGCGGGTGGAGGTGTCGTCGTCGTCGTCGTCGTCCACTTGCGGTCTCGCGCATTTGCATAAACAATGACACGAACCGGCTACCGGATTCCCAGCTCACGCGGCGGCGGTGGCAGTGGCGGCAGTGGCGACGATCTCGGCGACCGCGCGTGGGTTAGCCCGCCGCCGTCTCAGCGCCTAAACGCGCACGACTTCCTCCTATAATGTATAATAATAATAATAATATGTAATATGCGACTTTTTTTTTCGACGTCAGACATTATCGTTTGTAAGCCGACTTCTGCACACAGTTGTAGTCGTTGTGCATAAAAAACGTTTTTGATCCGTTTCAAACGGACCTACCTATAAACTTAATACATATATTATAAGAGGACATAATGATATCGTAGTACCCGCATATTGTGTTCGACTTGCGTATCACATCAAATATACGTGCCAGATTCTTACCAGTGCAGTTATATTTTATTAATGTGGATAATATATCATGGGACAAATTTTCTGACTATTGATTATATTAGATGAGAATAAAAATAATATTTTTTTGCTCGAGCAAAAACTTTTTAAAATTTTTTCTTCATATTTTTACTTTAAACGAGTTATAAGTACTTAAATACATACATATAGATCATTCTTTTTGAATTCGTATATTTTCTCTAACATAAACTATAAATAAGCTATAGCATACGAATCCGGTACGTCGATTTGCTTGCCATGTTACATAAGCTATAGTTGTCTCCGTCTGAAAATCGTGTACAATATTGTAATAATATAATCTGCAAGAACAGGCTTTGTTTTGTCAATTTTAATATCATGGGGTCTGACTTGTTATACTATTAAAAAGATAGAATATTAAAAAGGGTATACCATAGACACTAATAATTGATGGTGTTTTTTTGATTAAATTTTGAGGAGAAATATGAGGATTTTAAAATTGTAGTATTTTACATATTTATATAACTCGCTTAAAAATTAAAACATCAATAAAATGATGTGCCCCAGGTAATATTATGCTCACCTTTAAGTTTGATCACATTATTGTCAAATTACATTTCACAAAATGAAAGCTCACAAAACAAAATTGATTCTTCTGAACTCAATGTTGATATATGTATACGTAGACGTGGGTTTGACGTCCAAAACACAATAATATCCAACAAGTTTAAAAATATACCCATATGGCCATATAATATTGTATTGTTGGAATATTTTATGTAAAATATTATACGAACGTGATAAGTAAAAAAAAAAATGTTAATTTTTCAGGTAACGATATAAAAACATTTGGCCGTGGCATATTGGTGGCGTTGCAATTTTAACCCTTCACCTCTTCACCATCATCTACCATAATATATTATGTTTTATAGTACATGATTTTTTTATCGTACTTTTAAATTATTTCATCGTTCGAGCAATAAGATAATCTGATGATGATTTTCTGAAATTCCGATTTATATGTCTTCGTTGCAGTAGTGTGGATTGCATTGAATCCATAATTTTGTACAAATTAAAAAATCTTAACATAAACTTTTAAAATGTACAAGTTGTACATTTTGTTTGCTACGTTAATCGTAAGCATACCATTTCAATGTAAGTGTGAACTTAAAGATACGAAAACTAAACTTCAAGCAATTATAACACCTATTGACATGCTATATCGAGATGAAATAAATGATTTAAGCCGCACACCGATTCGAACCAACCGTTTTAAAGAACGAAGTAATATTAAAACCAAAGGAGTCTACATAACAGTATGGTTAAAAAAAAACACCCAGGTAAAATATTTTCACAAATTCTTCAATAATTAAATAGGTACTGTATGGAGGACATGTGTTACCAAGGTTATGTTTACATTTTAACCTAATTTTAAATACTTATAATTTAATAAAATACTCGTCCAAAACTTGAATTTTTTATATTGAAATAAAAAGAAAAATATCTTGTTTCATTTGTATATAATTAAAAAAAAAATTTTTAATTTTTTTTTTAAATTTTTTTTTTTTAAGTCGACGTTGAAAAAGGTAATAACTTAAAAAATGATAACTTTTCAAAATTTAAAACAGTTAAAATATAATTTTTAATAAACGATAATATTTATTAAGCAAATGAGTCGAGTTGTTAACCTTTAAATAACCACTTTGTATATAGGTATATATCTATATGATTACATAAATTATTAATGTATAATAAATAAATTATAAAATTGGACCTATATTTTATAATACCTATATAATTAATAATAATAGAATATAATATTATATCTAAACGGCAAATAACTGCTATAAATGTATTATCATAAATATTTCTTAACGATAGCTTACATTCATTTTAATAAAAACCATAAAAATAGTATTGTTTATCGTCATTAGTCACATTTGGCCATTTGGGAACAATTTAATTACATATTTTCTTATTTAAGGTTAAAGTTTAAAGTTTTTTATAATATACAAGTATTTGGTTTTGATAAAAGTATACATCACACTGGTCCACCTACAAAGAAAAAAAAGGAAATTCCGAAAACTGTGGAAAAGTGCCCATTTATATTTTATAATTTGTAGTAATTTTATAATTACAATACTAAGTATTTATAAAATTGTAATAATTTTTATTATTTTATAATTAAGCATAATAATTGATATAATCCTTCCATCCGTGGAAACATTCGCATCCGATTGTCCTTCTAATAGAGAACTAATAAATATCACGACGACACTTGTATACCAATTTCTATACATATATATAATATGTAATATTTATACAGGAATATTTTTCGAAAGACCAAGTGATAATTGTCGATCACGTTTACGAAGCTGTAACAAACAAAGTAACAAAGCTAATAAATCCTTATATAGTAGTGATTCAGCAAGACGAAGTACTAGAATCGTACAAACTAAAACACATAAAGGTTAGTGTATATAGAATTGAAATGTTTTCATAAACGTGTATATGCATGTATTTGTAATGTAATTTTTGTCCATAACCAGGCGGTCAACTCTGAAGTGAAGGAAGTTGTGTTCAACAAGGAATCGACCAACTATTATCCTGGCTGCTACGCAGACTCAAAACGATCTACTTGTCACGCAATGACTGCGGCCGATGTCACCCCGATGCAATACAGTGAAGTATAAGAGGAAATCGATACTTTTTTTAAAAAATCGATGAAAACAATATAGTCAATAGCCGCATAGCTAAATTAAAATGTTTTCGTTTTTCTTAGGGTTTTTGCTGTTCTTGTAAGATGGCGGTCAATGTCGAGAGGCAAATGAATGACTGTCAAGGACGAAGCCGGTTTAAGCACGTTGCTCACGGGGTTAACGCATTAAATGAAGACATTGAAATAATGATCAGTCAAATGGTAGACAATCTTGACTCGGACAACGAGATAATTGCAAATGACACTGTAGGATCATCGCATACTTATAAGAAACAAATACGCGGTGGCCAAAACTGTGAATCCACAAATACGCCAGGATATGTCGACGAAGCTTATCGATTCCACGAAAGCAGTCATTGTTTAAAATTCAGTGATTTATGGTTGGAATAGAATTAACAATATCATTATGTCTGTGTGTTTTAAGATTATGTAATCTGCTGTGTTCTGTAGGTACAACGTGAACATGTTGGAATCCGCGTCATACCATCATTCACTTACAATAAGTGTTTATGAAAAATATACAATGGATGATATTAAACCATCGTACAGGAAAATCATTTCCAAAGTTAAGTGAGTTATCGTTTCCAAAAACCCTACATAATGTTAATAACTGATACTTGTCTTTATATACATATACATATTATACGTGTGTGATTATTATATATGGGTGATCAATATAACCATTAAATATTTCATTAAATACAGTACTACACATAAGTTAAGTATATTTTATGTGCCTGCCACCTGGTTTAACAGCTACACCGCACGCCGTGTTTAAAATGACGCCAAATTAAGCTCCAAACTCTTTGGTCTGCAGTACAATCTACATAATATAGTTTACTTAAAATTAATTTAAAACAAAAAAATAAACTTCTATTACCACAATAGATTATAACAATTAATAAAATAATGCACTTTTTGGAGGACGTAAATAATTATACTAGAACTAAGTTGACGTTGTACATTTTTATAAACTAAACGCCTATTATTGAAATAAAAATGTATTAGTTATAATTTGTTAGGTAATAATTAAGTAATTACCTACTGCTTATAATTATATTAGTACCTCATTCATTAAGTTGTATTTCATTTTTTAAAAAAGTGATGTGATCGGTGACACCCACTATTATTATAATATTATCTTATTACGTCATTAGTCATAACTTATAATATTACTAAAAAGCATAATATGACAATATCGTAAATAAAGTGTGTTGGTTAAGTAAGTAATATTCTAGTAATTTATATATATATATATATATGTTTTTATTTTAAATGTGTATTAAAATGTAATGTAAAACGCAACAATTGAATACATTTCCATAATATTTTAATGATTTTTTTTACATATTCAGTATGATTAATAAATACAAAAAAAAAAGATCACTAACAAAAAAATGCACACTGATTATAAGAATCATTATTTAAGTATTAATGCATTTGAGTATTTGATGTAATTAAAACAATTATAATCAAATAGGTTAAGCAACAATAACAAGAATTATAAAAATGACGAGTCAAATGTGCAAGCAAATTATGTAGCTTTAACATTTGGTGATGATCAATACTATAGTTTAGACATAAACAATGATAGACTTTTAATACCAGAAAAAGTACCATCAATAATCGAACATCTTTATCCACAGTCAACAGGTAATTTTAGAAATATTAAATACATGTATATTGATCAGAAAACTGAATATAATAATTATTTTTAACAAAATAATATATTCTAGACGATCCGAAAAAATATTTAATTTTAAACGCCAATAATATAAGTATCAAAGGTGACGAATGTAATAAAGTTGGAGTATCATATGAAGCATTCTTCAAACAATACAATAGATGTGGAGTGAAAAAATCTAGCTGTTTGAACAACCAACCTTCACATTTGTGGAAACATGATATGGTATATTATGAGACATTTTTTATAGAAAATAGTATTGTAGTTTATAATAGTACTTTCAGATTTGAAAAATAAATACATAATAAATGTTAATATATATTAAAATATTTCATAGACGACTGCGGTATATAAATAACTTATTCACCCCGATACGCCTCTTTTAAATTTACTTATATAATAAATGTAGGTATTGGTTAAGAACTTAAGCAAATTACTTCAATTATTTTATTCTTAATTCAACAATTCAAATGCACGTTTTTATTTAAAATGTTTATTACTCTTTATTATAATACTAGGATGCAATCGAGTCAGGAATTCCAGGGAGTTATTTTTTAGAAAATTTTGTTAAATTTCCACAAAGTGCAAACGTAATGGAAAAGATCGACGGTACTGAAACGTTAAATTTGCATTATGAATTGGATTATACTAGTGAATTATTTATTCATAAGGAAACAAATTATAACAGTGTACTTTCAACAAGGTAATAATTAAAAAAATATTTTAACAATTTAATAGTAAACTTATTTAATTAATTTTTTTTTTTAGTTACTATATTATATATCATTATTACAAGTTTTTACCATGAATAATCTTTTCTGAGGTGGCTATAAAGTCGTACAATAAAATTCATTGACGAAAATATTATATTAATTGTATTTTGTCTTTTTGATGAAAAAAAATAAAAAAAAATAAGTAATAAAAAGAAGATAAAAAATAAATAAAATAAAAAAAAAATAAAAAAAAAAAAAAAAATTAAAAATTTAAAATAAAAAAAAAAGAAAAAAAAATAAAAATTAATAAAAAAATAAAAAAATTATAAATAAAAAAAATAAAAAAATTAAAATAAAAAAAAAAAAAATAAAAAATATTAAAAAAAATAATAACAAATGATAAAAAAAAAAAAAAAAAAATAAAAAGAATAACAAAAAACTAACCTAATTAATTTAAGGTGTCTTGTTTATTGTAATAATGTTGACCGAAATATAATACTATATATATGGCGTCATAAGACGTATTCAAACATTTTTCTAGTTTATTTGACACAATAATTGCACAAACACTACTAATAGCATATTTTTTATTTAAACTATTTTAGGTCTCTTATAGAAATTGTAGAAATATATTCAGATGCAACTAAAATTGATCAAACTAAGATAGTTGCAGCGATTTATAATATTGGAATGAAGGTCGAATTATTCCGAGTGCAGTTATTAGATTTTCCATTAAGCACGAAGAAAAACTGTACTGAGATTCAAAGTCATGATGTGTACATTTTCCCTTTTCACCGATACAATCATGTTTTTAATTTCTCTGGACCCCTTATGGAGTCTAGCATCAATTGCACACGTAAATGTTTGTTTAGGACATCTAAGTAGTGATAAAATAATAAGTAATAACTAATGTGAACAACATATTTTTAACAGTGAGAGTATTGGACAAATGGAACAATGTAATGGCTTGGAGAAATGTTCTCATTAGCGAAGCCAACCGCTGTTTTTGTGTGTGGAATTGCGAATGCGCTTGTACAACAATTGAAGATCAATTATTTGCATCTAACTGTAAAACGATGTCACAAAAAGCTTATAATGGTGCTGGCTTTCGAGGAGCTGTACTTCAAATGCGTACTTCCTATCCTATTTCCATATTAAACATAGTTAAATTAACATTTATTTTTGTATCAGCATTTTTCATCATACGCTTTTTCATTGGCACGACTGAAAAATATGATTACGAATAAATACAAACCTAAAAATGTGAAAATGTATTACACACATTTATAGGAATAGCAAAAACAAAAATAATTGTTAAAAAATCTAATATATATTATTTAAAACATGATAATATTATAGGCAGGTGTGTTAAGTCAGTTAGGTATGCCTTATTTCTATGCATCCATAGTCAAAAGAGCAAACAATTAAATTGAAAGTAGTTGTAATTGACTTCAAATTTAAGAAATGTTTATATTTGTTAATTTGTTTCGGAAATAAATTATTTATTGCAAACATTTTTTTCTATTGCTATAGCAATATAAATGTGTATACTGTCAATAATTATAATTATAATTATAATTTGAAAAAAAAACCATTATTATGAATAATATTGGCATTTGTATAACTTACCTATTTACCTACCACGAAAGTATGAAGTAAAAAATATCATTAGAATAATGTTTAACCTATTGCACACGTTGGGACTTATTACCATTGTTGACGGGAATTGCGCAATATAATATAAAATTTAATATTTACTATTCAGCTACCGACTTGTTCTATCTCCGCTCGGTATTTTAGAAGAGATCAATAATGCTGATTTATAAATAAACCTAACAAAGTTATACCAAAACAATAATCAACGCGGCAGGTATATGGATAACAAAAAACCGAACACAGCACAAGAGCCGTAAACCCTCCTCAAATATACGTGACTGAATAGTAAACATCATTAACCTACCTAACTCAATTTATTTCCTCCTTCGACAATTCAAGATTTGTAATTTATGACTCCCGACTGATATTGTAAACATCATTTCCTGCATAACCGTCGAAATAATATATTAGCCTTCGACCGACGAAAATAAACCAACCTGGGTATATACAATGGTATATAGACGGTAAACGTAATGTATATAATACTAAAGCTATTGTGGGATATTTTTGATAATTATTATGACGGATGTAGGACGAGTCGCTATTTCGGCTCGGCGGAAACGCGCGCAGAGGTGACGGCGTTAGGTTAAAATAGTGAGTTGTGTTTTACAATAATTAATGTATATAATACGACTGTTTGATTGAAAATATGTAAATTTGTATGTAATTTATTCTTACTCCGATGACTGTAACGTGCCCATATTAAAATATATCTGTACGTATAATAATACGATATATATATATACAGGCATGTATAGATTGTCCCCTTTATTCTTGCGTCAATGGTTGAATGGTGTAAAAATTACAATCAAGTTCATTCCACATAACACGTGCAAAATAGGACTAACCTAACAATAATCTGACCATAACCAAGGGCCACGGCTACCTAATAAAACTAAGTGTATTACAATATAGATATTAGGTATGATACCTACGCCTATTATACGCGATGATTTTTTGAACAAAAAACAGTTCATGATCTCGAAAGTATATCAACACATATGCCCATATTTTTTCACACAATTTTAAGTCATTACAAAATAACATTTTTGGAAAAAAATATAATACATAATATGTGCTATTATAATATAATATAATATTATTATATATTATCATATAGTGTACTTCAAATTTCATAAGTTTTTTGACATAATAAGTTGAGAAAGTGAAAAAAAATCTGGGGAAATAATAAGGACCAAGAGTATAAAAAGTCTAGAAAAATGGACAGAAAATTCGAAAGAAATATAATATTTAAAATAAGTTAAATATTTATTAAGTAGGTACCGAAAATAAAATAAAATCGATTAAAACTATGTGTTAAATTATATTTACTTCTCAATGATAACTGATAACTAATAACTTCAGATATATTTAACTAATAGTTACAATATCTAATGATGACGTAATAAAACTGTTATTTTATAACGTATTTTATAGAACTTATCCCTCAAGTCGTAATGTAATTACGTCTTTGTATCATCGTCATTGATGAACATTTTTAAATTCAATGAATAATTAACTATTTTTTGATAAGTACATAATATACTTCTTAATCTGAGTCAATAAAAGTTTTTCTAATCATTACTAGGCTACATTGCATCGGGAAAATTATTCAATCGGAATTGATTACGAAGGAGGTAATATTATATAACACAGTTTTTGTATATTTATTTTTAGTTTTTGATAGGTACTTGCAATTATTAATCTTCAAACATATATTTTGTACAGACTTTTTTCCTGAAGTTCGTTATTACACTGCACAGAGTGATTCGTTCAACGCAAGACATTTACGAATTATCATATTATGATAGAGTATTGTGTTAACTGTATCGCCAAGTATAATGCCCGTCATAGAGGTAGGTACGTACCCTCAAAGTAATTATAAATATTTGAATGGCATAGCATATTATTATACCATATTATACAAAGTATTATGATATAGAACTTAGCTATTATTATAATAGACATTTTCAAACAGGCGCATAAATTAACAGAACGTATCGGTAAGGTGCTCGACTGCTGCAGTATATTGCAACGAGAAAAAAAATGACTTATCCATATAATACCATAGCATATTATAATATATTATATTAAGGTAGGTACCGCATAATATTATAGCATACATGTTAGCGCAGGCATAAACATACATGTATTTAAAATACGATTTAAGAATGAATATCGTGGTCGCATTGTTTATAGTACCTTTATTATTATATATTACCTATATTTGTTTGGTTTAATTTTTTTTTTGTTGTTGTTGTTGTTGCAGTTTCAACGTACGTACTGCATATTTTACATTGTAATATTGTGCCATATACGAATGGCGCGCGAGGTACCAGTTATATAGGTATATACCATCGGAAGCAAATACGTGTGTGGTTCGTGACCAGAGGTCGATTTTTGAGATCAAAAGAGCGGTAGATACCTACTGTATGGGTACACGTGGAAAACGCGGCCTTTATTATAACTTGCAGTATTACGCATGTCTGCTCTGAATATTAAGGCGATATTAATAATCCTATACACGACGAGGTATAGAGAGGTAACGCTTTAGTCTTCGCTGGAGATGCACACGAACTTGTGTTTACGCACGAGCTGCAGGAGATCGAAACCTCGAGCGTGTTTCACTAGGCCGCGGCATTATAATATTTATAATCGTATTATTGCTACAGTTCCCTGTACCCCTTCATGTGCCTAGGTCCGGGTGATGGTTTCATTTCGCGAGTTCGTTTATTCGATGTGACAGTGACCGTATATACCTGAATTTAAAACGGAATTGTTCCCCACACATTATGTCCCAACCGACTTCGAACGTCCCCGATTTTCGTCCCGTTTGAATCCGCACGAAAATCTTTAAAAATACATAACAATCATTAGACGATTTCTAGTGTTATATTTTTTAGAGTTAAGCCTATGGATAGTTTTTCATTCTTTTGTACATGGAGATGGTCACCTTAGAAATTATCACTTATAATTGGATTGTTCGGCAGTTTCAATATTTATAGTGCAGTTATGGTTTTTTCAAATAAAAATCGATAGTACATACTAGTACTTCTACAGACTGTATAATATAATAATATGTTATCACTTCGGTATTCGGTGGGTACTCTTTGCACAAATAATAACAGTTCCTATCTCCTATTTAATAAAAAATAATTTATTTTAACATTATTGAGTCCTTAAAAATACATTTAGAAACACTCACTACTATTTATGAGCGTGAGTGTATGAGTATGTGTGCACTGTGTACTATGAATGTGTGCTCAAGTTTGCAGGCAACTCATACAAATCTTAAGTGAGATAATAATATTATAGTAATGTTTAATAATAAAATAATCACGGCGTCCTGTATAGGCTTTCTGGGTACACGACTATTGTGGGTGTTTTTTTGGTATCATAATATACATCTCAAGATTTAACGACTAAAATATGCAATATTGTAAGTGACCGAGAATGACATAGGTACCTAACGAGCGACAGCAGATTTTGTTATTGCATCATTTTTTTGCAGTGTAAATTGTAGTTATTGTTAGGCACAGACGGAAATCCATTAAAATTTCAGGTGAAAATTTTTAACATCAATGTGAGGAGGCCTTGATATCACGCAAATAAGACACTGTATGTTTGGGGGGGGGGGGATACTGGAATATGTGGAGGGCGAAGCCTCCCTAGCACCCTGAAATTAGCGCCAATGTTATTTCAATGTTAGGTATACTAACTTGAAACCTGCGGCAGCCACGTTTATTTTTAACAAACATTTTTCTACCAAAGTAACTATACTAAAATACACCTTGTAATATATATGCTAGCCGGTAGCTCTCAGATGTAAATGTACTGTAGGTATTTGATTTCCATTCACTTTTGTTGTTAGACGACACTACGTCAGGCACTTCCGTTATGGTTTTTGTATATTTAATTTGATTTTAGAATTTCTGATTTTGAGCTTATTAAAGAGGTGCACGGAGACGACGATGGTTCTTTGTCTTTCAATATACACAAAACCAGTGGCAAAGGCCAAGCAAATTGATTATTTTTTTCCCATAAGCGTATATACTACCTATATATACTATATACTATATAGTATATAGTGTAGTGGATATATATTTTAGAATTGGTGATCCATGGCCCTGACAAAAATTACCGCACACCATTTAATTTTAAGACAACGCAGCATTTTAGATGCCCAACATCAAAACGCAGTTTACCTCTGTTGATTGGCCATTCGACCTAACCCATCTATCTGTGGATAACACAGTAGATAATAGGTATAAAATATAAATGTACAATGTTCTATTAGAATTCAGATTATTTTTCAAGAATTAATTTTACATTTTGCGTGAAACTATAAGACTTATTCAAAACATTTTTCTTTCCATACATTTTAAGATCTAAAACTGTATATAATATTATAATGTCGTGCGAAGAATTTTATTTATATTGATTATAATTTTATTCCGCTAAAAAGTGTGTACACGGTTCTATTTTATACTATGGACATTAATGATATTATGTATATTATAAGAGTTTACATCGCAGTCGGGGACGGATGATTTATTGAAACATTCATTGTCCGACGGTTCGCGGAACGCGACAACCGTTTGACTCGACAATTGTGTGAATCGCGATTTATTTCAATCGCCTACACGACCAAACCAGTTCTTTCATTTGCATAAAATAAAATTAAAAAATAAAATAAAATATCAGCAGAGCAACTACTATGTATGTATTTATATTATAAATACACAT